TCTATTTTATTGCTCGTTGTGTAAAACTTTGAGCTTAATGGGTATTAAAATCTCCTCATTTTTTTCTAAGGAAATGGTTCTTGATAAATTGTCAAAGTCATATAACAATTTAAAAGTAGCTATTCAATTCTTTTTTTTTTGACAAAAGAAAAAAAAAAAAGCTATTCATCAAATTATGGGCTTCAAATGGCCCAATAATGATCCAATGGATTAAATCAGTATTTTCTTACCGGATCCGAGACAAATCCAACTACCCACCTGTCTATGTTGCAACTACTCATTTGTATATTATAAATTTATAATTAGATCACATAGGATTATTATATTAGTTTTATATTTATACTCTAATGTATAGGAGATAAATGCATTAGCTCACGGTTAGCTTATAATCTGTTGCATACGAATTTTGAAATATCCACTAATTTCGACCGTTGCTTGTGTTCGAATATTTTATTCATTAGATGATTACAATAGATTATCATAGGTAATCAGAGATTGGTCAGATACTAAAAAAAACTTGTTAACCAGATCTAATGACTATCTAAATATATATACACCGTAGTAGTTTGGTGCATTACATTTTATAAAGTCTAGTTTGGTGCAGTACATTTTATAAACTCTATTGATTCTAATCCCATTAATTTGTTTATGGAAGCTTTTAGTAACAGCGCTCTTAACCTTGTTCACTATTCTAAATCTTAAAATTTTAGTGACAAATCTTAAAAAGTAGTATTGTTACAAAGTTGTCGATCGATCAAAAAGTTAGATACTATTATATATTTAACTCCTGCATCATATTATAATTCGGGTTGTAAAAAAAAGTCGTGTTCTATATATCGAAATATTTATTAATTAGTACGTTACGTACATTGGTTATAAGCGGGTTAGAAGAGACATGCAAGGATAGTTTTTCCAAGACTTTACACAGTATGCTTTCTAACTTTACACTTTTCTTGATTTTCTAAAAATCCTTTTCGGTTTTGTGTTGGATTATTATAATGAAAAAAGAAAAAAAATTGAGTGAACTGGAACCGAAAGTTTATGATTCTCTATTCTTAAAAGGGTCGCATTTACTATATATAATACGAAAAGAAGTAGAAAAATCTAAGAGAAACTTACATATTATTGTAATCCGAACATTCGCATGTAAATATGTAATATTTGAAGTATCAAAGCTAATCAGATTTTAAAATCTCAATATGTATATAAACCTTCGAAGTCATATCCTATGTATAATGTACTCATTATAAAAACATTTCTTCACTTTTTCTTAGTTTTATTTTAGTTCGACCTCATCCAAGAATGTCGTAC